TCTCCTAGTTGAAACATGAGGGAAGATGTAAAATTTCATTCAACAGACAACTAAACATTGTAATTAAATGTGTTATTTAAGAGGGCGTAAAAACAAAAAACAGCCATTCGCGAAGTGTGTTCAAAATTGATTTTAAAGGGCTTCAACGGTATAAAGACATGATCACAATGACTTCATCTTTGCTGAACGTCGATAGTTATTCCCCGAAATTTGAGCTACATCAGGAATATGTTATTCCTCGAAATTTGAGTCACATCCTGTCTTTTTACTGACTCAGAGGTTTGGGCTTCGGCTTATTTTTGACGTCTTTCAATGCGTTATTATCGAACTTTCTTTTCGTAATATAAATTAATCTTTTTCTACGCTAGCCCTGATGTATACTGTCCTCCAATTTTGATAGTACAGTCTTGCGAATTTGATACTGTCTTCCCAACTGTCTTGCAGCAACCGAAAGGTCTGCTTTTGGGAACGAAAAGTACGGTATAAAAGACAACAAGGGAAATCGTAGATTTCAAACCTCCGGGGTTTTTTGTGTTCTATTGGTTTAGGTTATTTGTTTGTGTGTAGTATTAAAGTTATGTGCGTAGTATGTTTGTATGTGTTTGATGGCTACTGACGGTTGGTTCGGTATGGACTGCTGATTAACGTAACGTGTCTGACAGCCTGCACCGTCACCCGCGCCATTACCCCCGCCGTCATCCCGCGCCGTCATTGCTGCGCCGTCACCCAAATTTTTTATCGGAACCAGACACCCCTCTGTTTTCTCATTTTTGAATGGTAAGACCCAAAACTGCACTCGCCCCATTCCTTAACAATATGATAATTACCATTTTCAGCATAGCGGGGGTGTCCGGAGCACTTAAACACCTTTTTTTTCGACGCCCATAAACACATATGCAATTAAACAAAAACGCTCTGCATCATCTGCAGCCCAATAGCAATACGTATACCGAACCACAGACAAATCCGTCCAGCCGATCGCGAGAAACAGCTGCTGACAGAAATGTTTCGAACCATAGTAAAACCTCCTCGCGGAAGGATATCTCCTTCCCCGGAGGTAACAAAACACAGAAAAGTTTAAGAATAATCATAGGCACTATTTCTGTGTATTCTTGATATGAATTGTTAGTTTTTCGTTCATACAAACAGCCCGGCCGGGCCCGGTTTTGGAAATGTGACCTAAGCATTAGAGATAATATCACGTTTCCTGGTGAGACGTTTTAACCACCACCCCTCCCATATACAGTAGATACTGACCATTTCCACTCCTTGCCTTTCCTGGCGATCAGTGTGAAGAGCGTTTCGATGAACAGCCCAGCTTCCGCCAGCATCAGAAGCCAGAACTTGGCGGCCCCATTTACCATGTAGACCCGCCAGATGCACAGGATGCCGAACGCCCCGAACAGCAGACGGGTGAGGAGAGCCTTGAAGATCACACAAGCTGCCATAGTTCTGTTGTCCTTGGCGTTTATGTCTTCGGGCAACGCGTCTTGATCCTAGTATGCGCTCGGTGCGTTGTGGAAGCACCTCTCTCGTCAGTTGACAACAACTGAAGTACGTAGGATCGCAACTAACAGACAGATAAGAGAATTTTATACTTGTTTCCACCCACGTCGTACCACCTATCGAAATAGGTATGACGTCGCCGTCAACGTGTCTTGATATGTGCTGTCTGTTGTGGGATCACCTCTCTCGTCAGTTGACAACTATTTCAAGTACGTAGGAGCGCGATTTGACAAACAGATAAGACAAATTTATACTTATTACCACTCTGAAATAGATATGACGTCGTCGTGCCGATCGATTTACATGTACTAGGTGCGGTCGCACATGCTGTTGAGCTTCCTTGTCGCTAGGGACATTCGATATCGTACGATGTGGTACGATAATAGCGAGACTACGCCAGAACCGACTGCCGACAAGGATCCACGAGAAACTTTTCGTCGCAGGACAGCTGGGTTTAGTAAGACACGTCTGCGACTGTCCCAAGTATTCCTAAATTTTGTGGAAGTTTCTCTGGCTCGCAGCGACGTTCATACACCGTAAATGATATGACAAATGTGATTTCCTGTCAACACACAACAAAAGCGTATGTTTACCCACGAAGAAGCATGAAAACAGGTCGATGTCTTTTTGTACAACAGATCGTCCTATACTCCGACGACACCAAAGGACAAATGAAATGCTGTCATTTTCCCACAGTGGGTGTGTAATTTTGAAGGTGTATGAGGGCCTGCATGGGGGGTAGTGATTACGAATTACGCAAAATTTTCGCCGCCGATTACGAATTACGTTAAAGTCTCAGAGCTGATTCCGACTTAACGATTTGCGGCTAATGTCCTATTACGAATTACGTTGATTTTTGCGGAGGCTGCCTACGAAGTACGAAGTCTAAATTTAAAGGCCTTATTACACCTTACGAAAAAGCGCATGCAGGCCCTCTTGTAATTGTATGGGGCACAGGTACAGCAGAACAATTGATCTAATCACCTGTGAAATGTTCAGGCATGCCGTGCCTTCAGGGGAGTAAACGTACAATGCCAGGCATGTGCTTTGGCTTATTTATAGAGATAATAACATAAATCGCGTCAAATATGTAGCATGAGAACGTACGCCGGAATCTGTTCTCACATTGTCCCTTGATGTAGACCCTCTTACCAGGCTTCGGAAAGCGACTGGAAAGAATAGAAATTGGCCAAATGGAGAGAATGATATACCAGGGGGGTTGGTTCACACTGAGAGCGGCAAATTGCTCTCTAAACGACGACCAACTCTCCTGGCATATCATTCTCTCCATTTGGACATTTTCTACTCTTTGCAGTCGCTTCCTGAAGCCTGGTAGAGGCTACCCTTAATCATGATCTGGCGTTCTGATTGGACCAACGTTTCGGTGACCTGCATGATTATATCAGGTCAATGCAGTAAAGCGAACATCATCACCACACTACGCCAACTTTGTACAATGGAAGACGTAGTTAATACATGTATACGCTACCCCTCTCAAAATCAGATATCTTTAATATGCTCCTATCATGTCCTACTAGTACGCAGATATCAGTGTACGTTGGAAAAAAAACATATCTGAATCACTACAAAAGCGACACCATATTGTAAATAACTGATATATCTCCTGAATTACAGAATGTAATGATATTCTTCGTAGTAAAACACAATAGATTAGCTTTAGTATCATAATGGACTAGCCCGTTAGAATTCTCTCTTAGTATTAGTTCGTATATGTACCCTTGTTGTTTCTTCTTTGCCATACATTGTACCAGCTACAGTTGTTGAACAATAAAGTTGATTTGATTTGTATAAAGTTAGAAATGAATGTTTTCACTGATTTTGGGGCGGCGAACGTACATGAACTACTAAGTAAGCAACGATAATATTAGTATGTATTATAACATTAGTATGCAATATTACCTATACATTATACGCGCTGCTTACCTAACGATGTAACAAATAATGCAAAATATTTATACTGTTGTAAAACCATTATGATAGTGATTTGTGAAATAACACGAGTCATTTGGCGCATGAAGCACGGTAGCATGAGTGTTTTGTTTTATTAATGTATTAGAATGTAGTTTATACAACGAAGAGAGAGCAGAGCTTTATAAACTATTGCAATATATGTTTGCCCATTTCATACATCTTAGCAACACAGATAAGTTCATATTTCTGATGGTTTTAGACAAACCTTCGATTATAAAACACATCTGTACTTATATCTACATCATTACTAAGAAGCGAGAAGAAGCCAAATTATCGTAATTATTAGTCTATATGTCCATAGCACATAGAATTAGTGCTAGCGTGTACATTGTATATATTCATTGCAAACTGTGACGTCTTTCCTGTGACCTGTACTGAACCCAGTGGGTATTTGCGTACAATAAAGGTCTTCATTCATTAACAAATTGATGAATCATCTACAAATTAATGTAGCGAGGTCGACAGTCTTAAAATGAACAATTTGTAACATGTGTGATGTTGTCTACAACATAATTTACTTTGTAAAGCTTAACCTCTTGCTATTGGAGTATCTGTGACCTGACACAATATTGATAGTGCTATGTACATGTGCTATTTTGATTGTCTACAGTTTTGAAGTCGCTTAAATAGAGATAGCATATGAATAGCCATTTGGCTGGAGCAAAAACGTAATAACACATAAAAAGAAATTAAAGGGAGGAAACGTGACGTTTCACCTACAGGCTTTGATGAAATTGGCCCTTGAATGTTTAGGTTAATGCTCTATTTTGGTTGATTAAATGTTGGAGGTGTATATTTTTATTGTTTTTCGAAGTAGACTCACTAAAATACTAAAAAGCTGAAAGTAATTGACTAATAATTATTGACAATGATACTTATAATTAAAGTACCATCATCATATCAATACGATTCGTTTTAAAGTGATAGACTATTGTTTGGAGGTTCCCGTACGGTTTTGACAAACTGAAAAAAAAATCAAAAGTTTCGTGTTGAACATGTGCCCGTCTGGCGCCATATTACTCCCAAAACGGCCCCGTTATGCCACTGGGCTACTATGTACACATTGACCTACGCTTGTAGAACAGTTACGTTATGCATTTACTGTATGTACAGAAATTTGGAACGAAGATTAAGCACACCAGCAGTCAATACACCGAGGTTTCGGATCCCAACTGTTTGTCCTTGAGAAATTACGATGCACCAAGATAGTGCCTTTGAACGTTTGTTTATTTATTGCAATTTACCCCATACGCATGTACATGGACGGCAGGGGTCACCCCAGGCAATGGTGCAGCGGCGGTGCACCACTCCCAAAAATTCTAGCGCCACTCCCAAAATTTCCTAATTAAGGGTCTTCTCTTCGTATTTTCGCGGATAAATAGGCAAAAAACATCGAAAGTGACGTCCATTGTGACGCGAGTGGCGTCCATTTTCCCGTCGGCATTGTTTCTGAAACTTCTGAAACCTAAGTCAAGGCCAACATGCCGACAAAAGTGTGCTTTTGGAAAGTGTATTTAATAATAGTAGGAATGAGTCTTGTTCTACCTAGTCTTGTGAGAGACATTAACTTGCATAGTGTATTACTGGCCATTTTCTCCAGGAACAGTTGTCTCGTGGATCTCTGGATCCATTCCACCATTTTCGTACGCTGCCACGGCGGTGTTCCTGTTGTCGTCTTTGATGATAGTTACGAAGTCAGTTAGCTCCTTTACTTCTACGTGGCTGTCGTCTTTCTCATCCTCGGTACAGATGACGATGACTCGATAGAGCTGCAGCACGATCACCAGCGCGTTCTTTCCGACGAAAAAGAGCAGGCCCTGCGTGATGATGTGCTCGTAGAAGATGAGATACAGCCGGAAGGCCAGGAACGGACCGTCCTGCATCAGGATGGTGGTGGAGATCGCGAAGATGTCCGGGTGGCAACAACCGCAGACTGTCCGCTTCTTCTTCTGCACTTCCTCGCCTGGTCGCCTGGCGGCGCCACAGTGCTGGCACACCGAGTCCCGGTGGTGAACGTTGTGCCACATGGGCGGCCGGGTTTGCCCGATGTTGAATGTTTGCCCATCACGCGAGATGGTATGATCAACGTTAACCGTCTCTACAATATTTATCGCGCCCGGACGAGATTTCCTCGCCTTGACGGCTGTGAAGACGATTGTAAACTGTAGCAGACTCCACGAGAACAGCGCGAGGACCGAGTAGACCACCCGGGTGTTTAACATCACGTTCTACTCTTCGAACACTTCGAACAGCTCCACGATGTTGGCGGCCATACCGATGTAGACCAATAGGAGCTGAGAAAGCTCGTCACGTGTCAGGTCGCCTCTGGGCAGCAGCCAGCGTTCGATGATGAGAAGGAAGACGAGGATCTGTTCCAACGCCAGGACCCAGTTTTCGATTGTGATCGCCGCCTGGAAGCACAGGAAAAATACAACAACGTTTACTATTTCAGCTCATTCAATGTTTTCTTCTTATTAAGTATTTTGAAACAGACACAGTGTAGTTATGGCGTCTTTTATTGGCAGCATTATGCAAAAGAGTCGTGGAAAGATCAATTGGTCTTGGCTATAAACTAGCCATATTCCTTAATTCGGCTGCGTGAAACTAGTATGGTCATTTTTGTTGGGGTTTATACGGTAATTTTGCAACAAATGGGAAGCTATTTTTACACACATACATACACGCACACACGCATACACACACACACACATAACGTTATATATACATGCACACACACACACACACACACACAGATACACACACAAATACATGCACATTGACACACGCACGCGCGCAAACAGGCAGTAACAAAATCTCATTCTCATAGGATGAAGTAGGAAAAAAAATCTTACGTTGATTCCGATGGAATGCAGGTGAAGAGCATCAGGGCTGTCGCTCGTCACCGTGACGTTTTGGGTCGCGTTCTTGCACACGTCCTGCACCTCAGACCTCGCCGCCAGGCGGCGCTCCAGTTGATCCAGCTCCAGAAACCAGATCGAGGGCACGGTGCAGCCCAGGAAGAACAGCACACTGGGACAGAACCTGGGAACGAGACGTGTTGTGTAAGAAACAGGAGCAAGTAGAAACAGATAAAAACCCCTGGCGCCGGGCTGGGATCGAACCCAGGACCCCGGGGAGCCAATTTCAGACTCCGACTCTCAAACCACTAGACCCATTGCCCTGGTCAGTTTATAGAGCCCACTGTTACACTTGCACTGATTTTCTGGTTTGATTTATTACTCCGTGAAGGAGGTCAGAACCTCCGGAGTGTTGTGAAGAGCTGATTTTTCATGTTCGCAGTCAAAACACTGGGTTCTCTTTGTGTAATCGGCACGCAATCTTATACGCCGTCTGCGGGCATGCCCGCGTTGATGCACGAATGTGTATTTTTGCCGTTGCTGCTTTCGCGGTCAATGTAATATTGAAGACGCACCCCTACAATTACGAGGCGAATTGGAATGGTCCAGAAAAACTCGTTGTTTGGAATAGCAGTGGGGGGTGGAACTTCATGCAGATACGGGGTGGTTTTGATAAGTGGTTCCAGATGTTTTTGCCTGTGCTTAAGAGATGGCAAGTTTTTGGAAGATGTTCGCAGCCAAAACGCATTCTTCCGTACGTCGCATTTCTGTGTAATTTCGCATGTAGTGTGGCATTATGTCCGGGATGATGCACGTCTTTTTATTTTTACCGTAGCTGTTTTGATCTAGGAGTAAATGCTTATTTTTGAAACATTCCCATGTCGTTGTTCAAAATGTTTTCGCCCGTTTATGTAAGTCGCGGTCAGGCTGATGGGGACGGAAATGTGGGGTGGTCAGAGGTCAACATTACGAAATGTAAATACCGATGACGTAATCCTATCGATTTCAAACTGGTCGGCTGTGGCGACCTAGTGGCGGCGTGTATTTAGTCACGTAGCAACTGGCCGGTCGTCCTAGCAACGAGCATGCTGGCCGCTTCTCTGTACACATGGCCAATATTTTTGGGTTGGGCCGCTCCATAGTGTTAGCGGAGCAGCTCTTTGTAAACATGGACAATATTTTTGAGCAACCCATCAATGTGTCTGCCTCGTGGTTGGATGTGGTCTGGGGCTGGTAAACCGCACATACTAGTAGATCGGGTAATTTTATGATTTGCTAGTTGTAAAGGCGTCTTGTAGTATGAGCCGGTGTGCAACTGTTACTAATTGCAGGGACTGCGCTAATGCCGACCAGTCGCGCTGTCCTGATACACCGCGAATGTTGGGCAATATGCGAGTGTTCCCTGTAGACAGTCCCGGGAGTCATTTTTTCGCACACTCGCACATTCCAGGAGCCAAACCAAAATACGTTCATGAACCGAGTCCAAAAAACCGAAACGTGAAAATCGGATGATCGGACCTGATGTACATTTCTCTTTCTGTAGATTGTACACACAATACACACATCTTTAGATAATCTGGCCATGGCAGGTAAAAAAAAATACCCTGAATCATACTAGATTAGCGTAAATGCATGTTTATGCGTTCAAAACAAGAAAAGAAATTGTTTCCCGGTATTAATCTCTTGAAACACGGCGCTGAATATTGACGCAAAAATATTTCGGGCATCGCGCGCCCTTCCCCGTTGTTTAGACTGTATGCAAATCCCGCGTCACGTGTCGGTATTTCGCATCTCTGATTGGTTGTTGCGTCTTAAGATGACTGAGCCGACGCGCGTTTAAACAATTTTTCTTTGTTTGATTTATCACACTTCACAGAGAAAGGCTACTTCTTTTTGTTGCAATATATAATACTTCACGGAGAATTGTCGCCTATGGCTTCTTGTTGAAATTGTGGTTGTCCAGATGGCGTGATGCCTTCATTTTGTAACAAGCTGATTAAGAGTCAGAGGGCCCAAAGTCTAATCATTTCCAGATGAAGGCCTACGTACATGTACCTACCAAGTTTCATGACAATGCATATAACGCTTCTTGAGTTATGCTGTTCACAAACAGACAAACAGACGGACAAACGGTACTGAAAACATAACCTTTTTGGCGAAGGTAATGAAAGTATGACAAGAGGTGGGACGAGGAATTAGACTACGTTTATTAACTTGTAGTACCGTATTTCTACCATCCCTGCAGATGTTACCCCTCCTCCTGGTGTCTGACTCCCAACATGGCGGCTACAACTTTGATGCTGCGGAGATTTCCATCGTATCGACCACTCACGCCATCTACAGTGCTGTTACACACGTATTTCCTTCTTTCCTTTACATACAAGATTCAGCAATCTTAAAACCCTATCTAGACTGGGGGGGGGGGGGGGGGCTAAAAGTGCCCGCGCCAACTTTGATGTCAGACAGCGTCCGAACGGCTTGCGCTAGGGCCATCAAACTTGGTGACTTTTCCTGCAATATTGAAAATACGAGTTCATAGCAGTGAGATAACTTTATAACTTTTCGTGATGCCATGGCAACGGGTTTCGCAACATTGCGAAATATGAGAAATTGTCATTACATGCTTAATACTTTCTTTCTCCTAAAGGTAACGATAACCCCTTATATTGCGTCCAAGTTCACCTACAAGACGGTGTTCCTGTCTGGAGTTGTGTTGTACGCAGTGGGGATCATCTTGCTTCCGTCCATGGTCAACATCACAGGTGCAGTGAGGAGTCAACAACTTCTCCAAACAGCGAACTCTAGCGATTTGACACTGAACTTCACGGCTGCTCCTGGGCAATTTTCGACCTCGCCACTAGGAACAGAAAGTTACATACAGCCAACGACAGAAATGAACGCGACAGTTACCGGCCAGTGTCGGCTAGCCGGGGACAGGAGGAAGACCTCCCAGCATAAGGCCTCAGACTTGCCCGCCAGAGTTTGGGGTCCACTGCTGCTTGTGTTGACGGTGATGGAACAGGGAAGGTAAGATACTAATCGTTGCCGTGATACTATTTATACTAATTATGACGATAAAAGTAAAATCTATGTCTAAGCGACCCTCTATTTTCTACAGCCATACTATATATCAATATTGATTAGTCCGAAGGGTCCGTACAGACGAAATGATACCGTTAATTGTTCCGACGAAATAATTATTCAGGCATAGCTCGTTTCTCTGCGATTGTTTGGATAAATGGCTTTTCCTCCGTCCTTCAGCACACAGTCATACCTGGCCGTCATCGTGATGGTGGGAAACGCCGGTGTGGTGAGTAACATGATCTTTCCGAAATATTTACAAACCTTAAGACACGAAAGATGTCTTCAGTTGTCATAGCAATTAAAGGCAATGAAAGCAAACCTGCGTGGTATAAGACTCCCGCATCAGTATGAATGAGAATTTTATTGCCCACACAGCCTTGTAAAGTCCATGTTTATAATGATGTCCTTTTATGTCGACAAAGCAATCCAACCGGGGGACAGTTAACGGCATCGCGCAGACCCTGGCGGCGCTGTCCCGGCTGGTGGGACCGGCGGTGAGCGCCAACCTGTTCGCCTGGACCACCGATAACGGTAGGGCGGCAGCTCACTGGCACGCCTATCTCACAACAATCTGCAACACGTGTAAGAATTTAGTTTCGAAGGCAATTTAAAGACGAAGGGAAAGTTACCGGTCGGTTCTCTGTCCCAGAGTTTTTTTTCTCTTTCCTTTGTTTGCAGGGTTGCCCTGGCCGCTGGATCACCACCTGTCCTTCTATCTGGTGGCCGTCCTGTGTATCCTCGTGGCGGTCCTCTGCGCAAGTCTACCGGCTTCCAGCAACCTGCCCAGGGCCGACAGTCTCACAGTATCAGAGGAGGGCGACAGAAGGGAGGAACCCATGTTAGAAGGAACACTGTATCCATTGATGGACAAATAAGCAAAAAGCACCGTTTTATTTGATCAGCGTCTTATTGTTTAACATATAGAGACAGCACCTCAACTGGTGAAGTTTACAGAACGGATAGGTAGAGTCAAGCAAACATCCAAATGAAGACCTCCTAACTGCAGCGCAAAAAAACGCAAACTGGTTTAACATGACGACGATAGGAGTTTTTAACTGTGTCGACTGAATGCGGCAGTTGTTATCGTTGTGACTGAGTGTGCAACACCTACACTTATTTTTATCAGTATTTATCAGAGAGTCGCTAATAAGGCCATGTTGATTTGATTATATGGATGACATCCGCGCGCGCATGAATTTTCGGCCGTTTCCAAAAAAAAAGTTTTCAACCATACTGTAAATCGTGCAAAACAGTTGCTAAATGAGCAAAAATATACCATATGTTGCAAGGAAAACATTTAGAAACGATACCAATGTCGTAGAATGCCAAAATCAAAGGAAAAAGACAAAAATGTAAAGAAATGAATTCGAAGAGTAGATTATTCGCCATAACATATTCTGTGCCATTTGTTCAACCTTCATGACCACGTAGATTTCATAGTGAAAGCAACTTTTTTTTTCAAAACTTTTTTTTTTATTCGCACGCGCGCATCAGTTTTGGGGTTCCCAGATGATGTCATCCATATAATCAAATCAACATGGCCTAACGTGAGTAAGTCGGGATCAAGGAGCAGTAATGTACATTGTGTGATAATAAAAATGGAACATTAATTTTGCACGTCTATTCTGCGTAAAATTAAGTTGAATATTCGCACGGGAAACAAGTCACAGTGCCCACCCTGTATATAGCTGCCAGTCTCATGTATACATACCTGTTTGACCGGAAATTGGCGCCACAGCGCTCTGATGTTACTAACCATGTTTACAAACCCGGAGTACACACAGGTGAGCACAGGTATGAATATAACGACACGTCACCAGACACGGGCGTCCTGCAACGATCAGTTTGACAGGCCGTCAGCACTTGGAATCTCTTCTGATTCGATTATACGATGCGCTGTCTTTCCTCGACTGAAATTAAATCCTAAATTTGTCAAACGCAAAGAAGTGCAGTGATCGCCGCCGATCATGATGCCACGAACTGATAGCGCCGTCCAACATCCTGGATGTAACGAACCGTGTGATTGGACCGCACCCATATTCCATAGGTTGATTGCGAACAAGGAGGTTAAAAATCAAGAGGCTTGCTCCGTTACCTCCTTGGTTGGGAAGGACGTGCTAGTCCCGTAAACCAGTACAATCTAGCCAAGCCAGAAATTCAACCGCAATGTTAAGTGTAGTGCTAAGCTGATTTTGCATTATGATATGTGAAAACCTAGGCCTCCACTATCCAAAATTTATGCGTATGGACACGAGTTACCCGCATTTGTGGTAACTGAACTCGTACAGATATACCTCATTAGGTACTCGCGCCCTACATGGGTACCTAACCTTCTTGGTCGCCGCAACAAATGTACTGGATAGGTATGCTGTGTTAAATCATACTTCGGTATGTGATGGCAAGGGACCTAATTTTCTGGATTTTTTTTCTGAGGAGGCTTGTATGTACGAGACTCCACTTATCTAGATAGGCATTTCATTTTTTTCGTCAACAACGTTTGTACTGTTATTCTAATTAACGTAACACAAGTCTCCTTTGTATATCTAAAAATATAATGTTAATACATGTAGGCATTGATGCATGTTAAAGGGTGATCCTTGGTGCGTCTGTGTAGTATGTCATATTTGTTGATCTATATTAACTAAGCTTACATACACTCAAACATAATTGTACGTAATTACTGAATTTCGGAAACTTAATACAGGTTCGTTATGATTTTGTCGGTACAATAAACATTCGACCACTCCGCAAAGTCTTTCTTAACTTGTCGGAGGTTTGTGTACCATACAGAACTGTAAGGCCATGTTGATTTGATTATATGGATGACATCCGCGCGCGCATGAATTTTCGGCCGTTTTCAACCATACTGTAAATCGTACAAAACAGTTGCAAAATGAGCAAAAATATACCATAAAGTTAAAAAAATCAATAAAAGCTATAACAATGTCGTAGAATGCCAAAGTCAAACGAAAAAAGACGAAATTGTAAAGAAATGAACTTGATGACTAGTTTATTCGCCAAACCATATTCTGTGCCATTTGCTCAACCTTCATGACCACGTAGATTTCATAATGAAAAGAACTTTTTTTTTGCAAAACTTTTTTTTTATTCGCACGCGCGCATCAGTTTTGGGGCTCCCGGAGGATGTCATCCATATAATCAAATCAACATGGCCTAAGGTCATATCAATAAAAATCACCCTATTCGGAAATGTCCTGATTATTACAAAATATGAGGGAGGTATTTTTTGTGGTAGGTTTTACAGTGAAATGTGTATAGACATTGCGCACGAAATGTACAATGCCACTTAGTCAACTAAAATCCACTGTTATAAGATTCTTGCATGAATCTGTATAAAACATTTATCCGTACATTCTTTTTTGCAAATTCAACATTGTAAGCCGAGAATACAAACCCGGCCTTAGACTAACTTAGGCCGTGTCTATACGGAATCACCCAAACCGCGATTCGGGTAACTCACATTCCTCACATCTGGTCCACGTGCCACACACACCTGCGAAACCGTGTCCGAACATAATGCGCTTGAGCTACATTTATTGCTGTTTGATGATAACACGCAAGGCGGCGTGTTATTAATGTCAGAGGTCAACGACCTGCTTGCTGATGCCCCCCTCCCAGCGTATCTCGGCCGAATGCCGACGTGGTCCCGCCAGAGGCGGTGAAGCTCGCCCTAGAACGGACACATTATTTGACCATTACTGCTCTTTAAGTTGCTGCCACGTAAAAGTTGGTATTGCATATAAAAAAAGAAATATCACTCCGTAATCCATGACCAGGCGAAGTCACATTGAAATCACATTGCGTTCAGACGCAAATCGCGATGCGGGGAAACCGATCAACCACCTCTAGAAGTGGCTTGGGATCGAGGCGCTTTCAATGTGATTTCGGAGCGTTCAGATGGAGCCACTTGAAACCGGCTTCGGGGTAAACCACATGTAAACCGCCTTGGGTGATTCCGTTTAGACACGGCCTTAATAACAACACCACCTAATTACCAAATCAAGAAGAAAAATTGCTGCCTTTTAATTTGGTCATGCAACTATTTCGCTTGTTCGAATTAAAGCATTTAAATAATAATCAAATGGCAGTTGTATTAATTTAATTACAGTAAAATGGGTAACAAGCAAGAAAATCATCACTGTAGACGGCTGATAAACCAATATTCGTCATGCTTGGGACAAAGCGAGACACAAGATAAGGTAAAGTCACTTTAAAGAGAGCCACCGAAAGTGGCCAAACAGTTCTTGTACGCGTGCAGAATACTAGTACTCGTTACCTCCGGGGGAGGAGACATCCTTCCGCGGAAGGGCTTTGTAAGAGATTTAGATTTTCATGTTCGCAGCTGTTTCTCGCGTTTGGGTGGACGGATTCTTTTGAGACTCGGTATATGTTTTGCTATTGGGATGTAGATGATGCACGTTCTTTTGCTTTTATTGTATATGTGTTTTCGAGCATGAAAATGGTGCCTTTTGGTGGCACCAGAACACCCCTTTGAGCGTGAAAATGGACGCGACCGTTGACCTTTGGCGTGTTTAAAATATTCTCTGTCTGGTCCACGTATATGACCCCTCGCACAGAGGGGTGTCCGGTCTCGATAAATTCTTTGTTTGAAACCCTAGTCCTGAGGCGCGCAACAATTGTTAACACAACCAGGAACGCTAAATCTAACGCATAAAATTCAACACCATCAACTATACATAACAAACAACATATAAAAATATACAATAAAAAGCCCGGAGGTATAAAATCTCAGATTTTACTCGTTTTGACTACATTCTCTCTACGGAGCAGACAACCGACGAAACAACTGAGGGTGCTCCACAAGGAATGTATCTAAGAGCAATGTAAAATATGCTACTCGTAATGGTCCCTGATTGTGTAGCAGTAGTGAGTATCTTTGAACAACAGGTAGTCCTTCAGAATTTGACCGCTTCAGAACCGCTTTCAACGACGAGTACAGAGTCGGAACTATTCCGGCTAATATCGCCAGAGGGCGCGTCTGGATATGACCTTTCACCCCGTACTCTGCAAACTGGATCCATGCCAGCTAGCTGGAGGATGTTGATTTTCTGACAAAATACCGAGCGTTTCCAGCAAAAGAAGTAACTTAAGAAGTAAGAGTGCTCTTTATTTCTTTCAGTTCACATAAAGTATCTACCAGATAGATAGTCCAATTTTAGATGTGCACGCTTTGATTTTAGCCAAATCTCATCTATCTATCTTGATATAACGTCAACGTCCTTGCTCACTGTGGTCCAGTTGCTGCTGTGAAGGGAAAACTTCATAAAATCATAGTATGTACAATGTATATGTTAAAGTAATCATCACATGTATCAAGTGTCATAATTGCAGTAAATTCCTGGACCTCTGAATGTTTTAGCTGCAGCAGATAGGTGTAACGGTTATGACTAATTGTAATTAGGGTAAGGCCACACCAAGTGAATTTTATGGATGACGTCCGCGCGCGCATTGATTTTGGCCTGTTCCTAGAAAAAAAAACAAGAAATTCCGCTTCCTGTAACTATGACCAAAGAGTCACGACAGTGCCGCAAATTGTTAGATTGACGTGAAACCCGTAACACGAAATGGGTAAAGAGCACATGCTTTGTTGTCTTGTTTCTGCAGGCCCGCAAAACTGTGATGAAAGAAACAGGACAGGACGACAACTGCTGTTCCACCTGATTTATTGCTGTTTTGATGATGAATAAAAGACATATTGCTTGTTAATCTGTGTCACCTCATTCAATTTGTGTCCTTACATTTGTCGTCTCTTAGTATATTTCTAATCTAGGCATCTTGTTTTTTAGGGTCCTTCTTGTTTTTTTTCGCCCTCTCGCATTAGATATAGGGTCTCCAAAGGACGTCATCCATAAAATTTACTTGGTGTGGCCTAATATGTAAATGACCGTGTGGAAAGACTTGTTATAGACTAATAGAGAGCTATGCATATATTAGTGCGCTAGGTAGGCACTGATTGGTTGGTGAGAGCAACCAATCAGGTGAAGGACTATTGTGAACAGAGTTGAGCTTGGAAGTGACAATTGCTGTTAGTCAGTCGGTGACCGAGGACTCAGGTACGTGTACATGTGTAGTTGTAGCTCTGTAGATTAGTATTGTATAACTGTTAGCACATCATCTGTGTAACTTCCTAGACCATTGGTAACCGTAACTCTCTGTGTAACTAATGTCAAGCTATCCAGGGAAACAGCTGGCTTCATTACACCAAACAATTTGTTCTTCTACTCAATCTTTGTACAATCTTACAACTTTGTCCCCCAGTGCATCATGCATTTCTTATATATTACAGGAAGTCTTTCCAAAGATCTTCTACAACATGACAACCCACACTATGCTGGTTTCTGTTGCCTGGCCATGGCAAGGTGAGGCATTGATCATCATCAGCATCATCATCGGTCAGTTGCGGCGCAGGCAACTGCAAGGTCCCTCCACTGCCCCTTGTCGCGAGCAAGGTTGGCGATCTGCTTCTCAGTTAGCTGATTGTACTCGTCTCCTACCGTGAACACGTTATTAAGTTCCTGATGAACACCTCCATTTTTCTCAGACCATGAACGTTTGCTACCGTGAACTGTGATTGTGTAGGGTAAATAATATAGCGAATTTAGACAAGTATGCATATAGCTCAAAGCTGAAGAAAGTAACCTTTTCTGAAAGCATTGAGCTATAGACTTTTTTTCTTTTCTTTTTTTTTGTCAGTGTCCCTGACATGTCTAGCATGCGGAAATATCAACAACACAAGAGAACACACAAACATTCACATTGGAGACCTGTGTAAATGAAGGTAACAAAACCTATAACAGTTACTGTAAAAACCTATATGTTACAGTAACTGTTACTGTAATTCGCTTTCAGTTTTACCTTCAGTTCATGTCTTTTGCTTATTTACCCTACACAAATAGCTAGACCTGTGCACTTGTCAAAAATGAGGTGCACAGCTTTTTTAGACATGTACAGTGTATGCTAGTGTAAGCCCTAGCTGGCACTAGAGAGACAAGTTCTGGAGAAGTGTATGTAACACAATTGACTTGCTTACATTGACCCTTGACCCTCATGGCTGAGCTATCCCACTTAAGCCCTGGGATGTGCTTGATATGGCTATTAACACTTAGTCTCAGTAATAGAGCACACAGTATCTGGAACCCTGCTGTCACACTGTCAGGCCTCGAAATTAACTTTTCTTCCTATTGTCTGATCACTGTCCCAAAATAGATGTCAATTGTCCTGAAATGAGGATGAACTGTCCCAACCTGTTTTTTGGGTATGACTTCAACTTGAAGTCAACTTTATTTTACTTAAGTTCTGACCCCCGGGCACACTATAATTACAGTGTTGACAGGAAATTCGGGGGACTTTTCCGGATTCAAAAGCCGGGACATGTGCCTGATAAACAAAAGAAGGGCTTACATTCTGGTGTTGATTATTTTCTATTGTCCCAAAAATGTCCCAAAGTGACATAATTTTAGTAGTCCCAGCCTATTAATTTTAGTGGTCAGTGGCCATTGGACCACCTTTAATTTCGAGCCCTGCACTGTTGCATGTACCCGTAGATGTGAGCAAACACTGTCCAACTCCCTGGAGAGGCCCACATGCTGGTTGAAGCGGCGCGGCTGTTCCTGGAGGCAGAGTGCACCAATCAGACGCTGAAGTGTCCCGGGTTCGAGGAGCATCTCATCGCTGCCATGAACTGGTACAACTTTGCCATCAAGGTGAGAACATCCTCACAAATGTCTTCTTTAATTTTGAGGCAGACACCTTCAACTACTACTGGTAAGAATATACATTCATCTATGTGGATTCTATATAAAAGGTACTTTTTGTTGGCTTTTGTGCCTATTTTGAAGTGGTCACTATATGATAGTATATCAGTATATGTTCATTCATGTTATGATAAGATAATCAACTTATTGTTTGGTTGCCTTGCTTTTGTAGAAAGAAATGTAACGTGTTACAGACTGCACAGTAGTTTTATAACTGAGCCATTTGTAATATACATGACTGTGTGTTGTAGGGTTTGAACAAACCAGACCAAGCTATGTCATAGACTCATACTATCAGAGAGCTGCGGACCTACATGTACGAGCCAGGTAAGTACATAAATATTGTAGTTTAATGGACTTTTTTGTCAAACAAAAGTACTCTAAACTGTATTTCTTTGCAGCATCAGTAAACATCATTAAACAAAACTATTCAAATCAGTACCACATTATTTTGACTAAATGGGTGAAATTCTAAAATAGCTTTCTTTTTTGAGAGGGGAATATTGTTGGGTTGAGAATATGAGACTAATATAAGTCATACAAAATAATCTTAACATGTAAATCAATATTAACACAAATTTATAATTTATAAGTTGTGAAGTTGTCAAAGGTATGAGGTTCCTCCATTTTATTATTGCAAAGTCAGAAAAGAAACAATATAAATCGGTGTAGCCTTGAACATGGAGGTATTACATGTGTATGTTTTTATTACCAACGTGATGAAAGTAGTTTTACCACCGATATTCATCCAGTGTAATTTAAGGTCCTTGTCAGCACCAGAAAATTATGGAATTTATATTTAAAGTAGTTTGTGAGTTACTAGGTATAAACACTTGTTTTTGTTTACCTGTTGCTAAACAAAGTATTTGCCTGTTAATGAAGTACAGATGTTTTGTGCTTGATTGAATTACATTGTAAATGGTAAATGATGTCTTACTGTAGCCTGGCTACTAGTAGTCCACTACGCTGTTACAGATTAGCCAGTTTCTTGGCAATATCCTCCTGTTTTTGTTTGTTTCCTGTCTCCTTTGCGATGGTCATTGCTGATTGAAAGTGAGATCTTGCCAGGTCCAGCTTACCCAGTGTCTTGTAGGTAACAGCTATATTTTGATGTACTGTTATCTGTACAGTCTTGTCTCCACTTTCTTGGCTCATCTTCAGGTCTTTCTGAAACCACTCCAGAGCAAGCTCATAATCCTGCATGTCATCAGATGCCAGTCCTAGTCTGTTGTAAGCTAGCCTCTCTCCATTCTTCCTCCCCAAGTCCCTGGCTAGTGCCAACATCTCTGTGTAGTACTTGTGTGATTCCTGTGGTTCATGTAGCTGTTCCCTGTGTAAATCACCCAGCTTCAAGTTAATGTCCATCTGTCTAGTCTTGTTTCCCATCTCCATGGTGATGGTCATTGCTGATTGATAGTGAGATCTGGCCAGGTCCAGTTTACCCAGTGCTCTGTAGGAATCAGCTATGTTTTGATGTGCTGTCATCTTTCCAGTCTTGTCTGCAATTTCTTGGCTCATCTTCAGGTCCTTCTGGGACCACTCCAGAGCAGCCTCATAATCCTGCATGTCCCAACAAGCTGCTCCTACTCTTTTGTAAGCTTGTCTCTCGTCTTCCTTCCTGCCCAAGTCCCTGGCTAGTGCCAACATCTCTGTGTAGTACTTGTGTGATTCCTGTGGTTCATGTAGCTGTTCCCTGTGTAAATCACCCAGCTCCAAGTAAATGTCCATCTGTTCAGTCTTGTTTCCTGTCTCCATGGCGATGGTCATTGCTGATTGATAATGAGAGTTGGCCAGGTCCAGTTTACCCAGTGCTCTGTAGAAACCAGCTATATTTTGATGTACTGTTATCTGCCCAGTCTTGTCTCCACATTCTTGGCTCATCTTCAGGTTCTTTTGATGCCACTCCAAAGCTGCCTCATAATCCTGCATGTCCCCACAAGCCAGTCCCAGTCTGTTGTAAGCTTGTCTCTCCTTTCCCTTCCTCCCCAAGTCCCTGGCTATTGCCAACATCTCTGTGTAGTACTTGTGTGATTCCTGTGGTTCATGTAGCTGTTCCCTGTGTAAATCACCCAGCTGACAGTAAATGTCCATCTGTTCAGTCTTGTTTCCTGTCTCCATGGCGATGGTCATTGCTGATTGATAGTGAGATCTGACCAGGTCCAGTTTACCCAGTGCCTTGTAGGAAACAGCTATGTTTTTATGTGCTGATATCTGTACAGTCTTGTCTCCACTTTCATTGCACATCTTTAAGAAATTCTTGTCCCACTCCAAAGCTGCCTCATAATCTTGCATGTCCCTACAAGCCAGTCCCAGTCTGTTGTAAGCTAACCTCTCCTTGTCCTTCCTCCCCAAGTCCCTGGCTAGTGCCAACATCTCTGTGTAGTACTTGTGTGATTCCTGTGGTTCATGTAGCTGTTCCCTGTGTAAATCACCCAGCTCCAAGTGTATGTCCATCTGTCTAGTCTTGTTTCCGGTCTCCATGGCGATGGTCATTGCTGATTGATAGTGAGATCTGGCCAGCTCCAGTTTACCCAGTGCCTTGTAGGAACCAGCTATGTTGTTATTTGCTGTCATCTGTTCAGTCTTGTCTCCACTTTCATTGCTCATCTTCAGGGTCTTCTTGTTCCACTCCAAAGCTGCAACATAACCCTGCATGTCCCTACAAGCCACTCCCAGTCTGTTGTAAGCTAGCCTCTCGTTGTCCTTCCTCCCCAAGTCCCTGGCTAGTGCCAACATCTCTGTGTAGTACTTGTGTGATTCCTGTGGTTCGTGTAGCTGTTCTCTGTGTAAATCACCCAGCTCCAAGTAAATGTCCATCTGTCTAGTCTTGTTTCCTGTCTCCATGGCGATGGTCATTGCTGATTGATAGTGTGATCTGGCCAGGTCCAGTTTACCCAGTGCCTTGTAGGAAGCACCTAACTTTGTTTTTGCTGTCATCTGTTCAGTCTTATCTCCACTTTCTTGGCTCATCGTCAGGTACTTCTTGTCCCACTCCAAAGCTGCCTCATAATCCTGCATGTCCCAACAAGCCAGTCCTAGTCTGTTGTAAGCTTGTCTCTCCTCTTCCTTCCTCCCCAAGTCCCTGGCTATTGCCAACATCTCTGTGTAGTACTTGTGTGATTCCTGTGGTTCATGTAGCTGTTCCCTGTGTAAATCACCCAGCTTACAGTAAATGTCCATCTGTTCAGTCTTGTTTCCTGTCTCCATGGCGATGGTCATTGCTGATTGATAGTGAGATCTGGCCAGGTCCAGTTTACCCAGTGCCTTGTAGGTTTCAGCTATGTTTTGAGGTGCTGTTATCTGTGCAGTCTTGTCTCCACTTTCTTGGCTCATCTTCAGGTACTTCTTGTTCCACTCCAGAGCTGCCTCATAATCCTGCATGTCCCCACAAGCCACTCCCAGTCTGTTGTAAGCTTGTCTCTCCTTGTCCTTCCTCCCCAAGTCCCTGGCTAGTGCCAACATCTCTGTGTAGTACTTGTGTGATTCCTGTGGTTCATGTAGCTGTTCCCTGTGTAAATCACCCAGCTCCAAGTAAATGTCCATCTGTCTAGTCTTGTTTCCTGTCTCCATGGCGATGGTCATTGCTGATTGATAGTGTGATCTGGCCAGGTCCAGTTTACCCAGTGCCTTGTAGGAAGCACCTAAGTTTGTTTTTGCTGTCATCTGTTCAGTCTTATCTCCTCTTTCTTGGCTCATCGTCAGGTACTTCTTGTCCCACTCCAAAGCTGCCTCATAATCCTGCATGTCCTCACAAGCCAGTCCTAGTCTGTTGTAAGCCAGACTCTCCATGTCCTTCCTCCCCAAGTCCCTGGCTAGTGCCAAGATCTCTGTGTAGTACTTGTGTGATTCCTGTGGTTCATGTAGCTGTTCCCTGTGTAAATCACCCAGCTTACAGTAAATGTTCATCAGTTCAGTCTTGCATCCTGTCTCCATGGCGATGGTCATTGCTGATTGATAGTGAGATCTGGCCAGGTCCAGTTTACCCAGTGTCTTGTAGGTAGCAGCTATGTTTTGATGTGCTGTTTTCTGTCCAGTCTTGTCTCCACTTTCTTGGCTCATCTTCAGGTACTTCTTGTTCCAGTCCAGAGCGGCCTCATAATCCTGCATGTCCCAACAAGCCAGTCCCAGTCTGTTGTAAGCTTCTCTCTCCTTGTCCTTCCTCCCCAAGTCCCTGGCTAGTGCCAACATCTCTGTGTAGTACTTGTGTGATTCCTGTGGTTCATGTAGCTGTTCCCTGTGTAAATCACCCAGCTGAAAGTAAATGTCCATCTGTTCAGTCTTGTTTCCTGTCTCCATGGCGATGGTCATTGCTGATTGATAGTGAGATCTGGCCAGGTCCAGTTTACCCAGTGCCTTGTAGGTTTCAGCTATGTTGTGATTTGCTGTTATCTGTGCAGTCTTGTCTCCACTTTCTTGGCTCATCTTCAGGGTCTTCTTGTTCCACTCCAAAGCTGCATCATAACCCTGCATGTCCCAACAAGCCACTCCCAGTCTGTTGTAAGCTTCTCTCTCCTTGTCCTTCCTCCCCAAGTCCCTGGCTAGTGCCAACATCTCTGTGTAGTACTTGTGTGATACCTGTGGTTCATGTAGCTGTTCCCTGTGTAAATCACCCAGCTTCAAGTAAATGGCCATCTGTTCAGTCTTATTGTCTGTCTTCATGGCAACAGCCATGGCAAATTCATAGTTAGTTTTCACATCTGCCCATTGACCCGACTGTACTAATGATGATGCTAGGTTTTTGTAAGCAATGCAAATGTCCATATCAGTTCCTATCGTAACCCCATGGATACTCAAAGCTCTCTCATGGTTTCTAAAGGCCTCTTCTTGTTTACCTAACATATCATATGTTACACCAAGTCTTCTGTAGGCTTTGGCTTGTTTTCTTACTTCTAACAGTTCCTGAGAACACTCTAGCATGTTTTGGTAATACTGCAGAGCTGACTGTAAGTTGTGTAGTTTTGTCCTGTAGAGATCTCCTATCTGACAGTACAGGTCAAACTGTTGTAGCTTGTTTCTCTTTACCGCAGGTGTGTTCAGTTCAGCAAGGAGAAGGTTGACTTGTGGATCGTCATCATCTGAAAAATATGGATAATCTTCCATAGTATTACATTAAAGTATCTGTGACTCTGTATACATATAGAATACAACACGGGGTATTCCGTATCGCCCGAGGAATCGGCCCGACCACGGGTGGGCCTGCGGCCGTCGGGCGATCCGACTCGCGGGAGGGCCGGGACCGAGGGCGATGCGGAATACACCGTGTTGTATTTTATTTATGTCATACCCACCCAAGAACACATGCCTTTCAATGCATGATGAGCCAAAAGTTGGTGCCACTAAACCCTAAAATGCAACAACCTCAATTCCAATGTCCGGATTCTGTATTCGAATTTTCGAAAGGGGCGCATGCGGGTAGGGCGAAACGCGTTCGAATCATTTTATGGAAGCCATGGAAGCGTTCGATAACGGGTTCCGGACCCGTTATCGAACGTTATCTGGAACCCGTTATCGAACGTTATCGCGGCCATGGTATGATATAAATATATATATGAGATAATAGCCTCTATGTTGGACAGAGCAATTACCAACAAAAAGAACATTTGTCAACATAAAACCGGCAAAATACATGTACATGTATCTCTTTTTTTACTGCATTGTCCTCCCCTCTTGCATCATTAAAGGTCTGTCAATAACTTGATTGAAGTATACTTAAGACAGTAATTATTTATTCAAATAATCTTATATACCACTCTATGCATAACACTATAAACAAGTGTTCCTGAGATCTCATACCTCCATGAAATATGGGCTTGCTTTGTCCTCATTAATTATGCAAATAACCTCGACATTGACATAATATACATTATATGCATAGCGTATCTTTAAGTAACTTACACATGTTACGAGG